GCACGCACGCACGCACGCACGCACGCATCACAAATCGTTGGTAAAACAGCGACGCTGTGAAGTTCAGTCTCTATTTTAGGATTCCCGATTTCCAAGAGGGGATTGTTAAAAATTGTTAATAAATTGAAAAAAGTATCTGTGAAATAATCACATCACATTCTTTCCAAAATAAACTTATAATTGTAATTCAGTAAATAATTTATTCTGCTTATAGTGACGGAAGCAATTTTATTTTCAGATAGCAAAATGGATCTCGAAGAAGATGCATTGCAGGAGTGCTTGCTGAATGTCTGTAAGCCTACTCTAAATAACACGCAAGTTTTTTACAAGCTATTGTTGGATGCTCTACGATCTAAGAATTTCCGTTCTTTCAAAAATATTATCAAACATGATTCGACGAAGCAGCTACCTATTTTGGACGTTAACTATGTATTTCCGGACTTACAAGAAACATGCCTTGATATAGCTAGCAAAAATGGTTTAACAGAGTTCGTGGAATTTTTATTGCGTCAAGGTGCGAAGCCTAACAGAGTAAATGAACTACATAATCGCGCTCCTATCCATTTCGCCACAGAAGGTGGACACGTGAACACATTGGCAACTTTGCTAGCGGAACCGACAATAAATCCAAATCTCGAGGCAAGCCAGCAGACTGCCTTGCACATCGCAGTGAGAAAGAGTGACGTGACGTGCGTCGGTTTACTACTGGAAAACGGTGCCAGTGCCAACATTCCAAATAGTAAGGGTTTGACGGCCCTCCACTTGGCAGCGATGAAAAGTCAGCGGGATATTGTGGAACTGATACTGGAGAAAAGCCGACAGTGTCCAGACGTTGACACTTACAAAGATTATAACGACCAGACGACGCGAGAAGTGATTCAGCAAAAGCTGCCGGGTATATCGTTGCCGTCTGAACATAAAAATCGTGAGGTAAATATGCACGATCTTAAGTACTATCTGATCGCCAACGATGAAACAAACTTCCTGAAAAATATGGAGCTTGTCAAGATAGAGATTCTTCACAGTGTAGTCGAAGAGCTGTTGGAGATGACTACACAACGAGGTTTTCATAAAGTTGCGATCGCAATCCTGGAAAAACTTAAAGAGAGACAATTTAGCGTGAAGAAAGCCGCGCAAGTAGCCGTGCAGCAAAGTGATCACGCTATTCTTCAGATATTGCTAAAAATAGAGCCAAATATGGCCAATGACTTAATCCTGAGTGCCTGTCAGGAGCTGGGAATGCCGGGAAAACGTGGAGTTGACAATACGGTCGATCGATTGGAGTGCCTAAAGTTGATTTTGGAACAAGAAAACGTAAATGTTCGCTGCAGTGATAGTAAGTAACATAAATATTACGAATAGATGGCACTTTTTTAATAACAAATAGATAACTAAATTATTATTTTGCTTCTCTTTTTTTAAAACTTTCCCAATTTGTTTATATTATAATTTACATACCTATTTTATAGATAAAGGCAATACTCCATTACATTACGCGGCCGGAGCTGGCTGTCGAGAAGCAGTAATTTTACTTCTCAACCAAGGCAGCTACATCGGTCATATGAACAAGTTCAATATACCGCCTATCGCAGATATCTCAGCACATACGCTGTCACGCTACTTTGATGATTGTTTGCAGACGCGGAAAGATCGGACAAACGAGTATACGATTGAATTTGATTATCATTGTTTGATGCCGCACGATGTTCTTACGGAACACGATAAAACTCACCGAGAGACTCACGAAATGGAAGTATTCAAATACATCGCTAGTAATGGCGGTCTCAAACATCTGTTGAAACATCCACTGCTCTCTTCTTTCCTCTATCTCAAATGGCACAGAATACGTCACGTTTTATATGCAAATTTTATCTTTTACGTGATCTTTTATTTTCTTTTAAACGCTTACATCCTGAGCATAACTTACAATATCCGGATAGAAAATAAAACGCAAATTGGGATCAACGATGAATCTGATATAGAAAGTACTTTGCGAATTGCCTGGTACCAGAACGACTTCCTATGGGTCTCTACTGCCGTGATGTTGCTGTTTTTCATTTTCCGTGAGATTTTCCAATTTATATCATGTCCTAGACGTTACTTAATGAGCTTAAGAAATTGGTTGGAAGTCGTGTTGATTGTGCTCACTGCCGCTGTGCTATGTGGCGCGGGACTTCAAGTTGGTGCCGTGGTAATTTTGCTGTCGGCCTGGGAGATGGTGATCCTCATCAGTCAGCATCCGCGCTTGTCTACCGGCATCGAAATGTTTCAGACTGTTTCATTCAATTTCATGCGCTTTTTGTTTCCCTATCTGTTTCTTATTCTCGCATTCGCACTAGCCTTCTATACACTCTTCAAAGACGGCAACGACACAAACTTTCCTGATCCTGGTCTTTCACTTTTCAAAACTATCATCATGCTCACCGGCGAGTTCGACGCCAATGACATCCCGTTTATTTCGCATCCCATTTGGAGTCATATTGTGTTCGTATTATTTGTTTTCTTCATCGCTATTGTGTTGTTTAATCTGCTTAATGGTTTGGCGGTTAGTGACACTGCTGAGATTCTGTCTAAAGCCGAATTGGTCGGACTTATCTCTCGAATACGTTTGGTCACCTATATTGAGGATATGGCAGTTGGAAAGCCTTTCGAGCATTGCTTTTGCTGCAATTCGAGATTGCTACGTATTTGGAATCTTTCTGGCTTTCTCGCTAGGAGAATTCTTTTGTTTCCTCATTTCTTAAGAGACGGTAAAATCAGTATCAAGCCATACGATAACCTGGATGCTTACGATAACGATAGATATTACGAAAAGTATGTTCGCAGTGACTCTGTAAAGGGTGACAAGCAATGGACCACCGTGAGAATGGATCCTGATATAATTAAACAAGCTAAACGTATTATCTACAATAAGAATCAATTGACGGATAATGAGAGGATTATGATTATATTAAATAAACTAGAAGAAAAATTGAGGACGGTGGAGATGATTTTAAAAACTACAAAGTTTACAGAATAATATTTATAATACAGTGCAAAAGTATCTATAAAAGAGTTTGTAAAAGAGTTGATAAAAATTATTGCAACTTATATTCTTTATATTCTACTGTTCTAAAACTTTTTGAATTGGTAACATATTTTTTATAGCTCTACATATGTATGTATAGATCTTCTAAATTTTATTAAATTTAAACAATATTGTTAAATATTTACATTTTTAATTTTGTAATCGACGTAACTTAACAAAATAGTGTAATGTGATTCTTGATCTAGTCATATATACAAAATGATTAGAAGAGTTACATTATTAAAAGAATCACATAACTTTTTTTTTAAATAAATGTAGAAGTAACATAAAAATTTGTTGTAATAAAAACTTATATATTTATACATATTAATGTTAATATTATTAATTAAAGTGATACAACTGAAACAGCTAGATTTATTATTTAAATCTATTTTTGTTCTATTTACATATGTATAAAATGTTGAAGAAAATTTGTAACTTCAGACAAATATATGTATCTCTCTTTTACTATCAATAAATTAATATTATATTTTATTAATATATTAGGTGGTTCCATAAGTTCTCGGGATTTTTTATATAACTTTCTTGACAATAATTAAATGGAACTCCTTCGTGGGATTAGTTACGTTATTATCGCATTGGGGTAAGTTGTTACTAATTGTAAGAAATAAGAGTTACCCTTTAATGAAACATTTAATTTTTTAATAAAATAAAACAATTTTATAATAATAATGTTTATTTATTCATTTTTTATTATTGCACGTTCATACGCTAATTTTCTTACTTCTTGCGGTAAAAGACCAAAATAGCGAGGAGCATTTCAAAAGATATTTTGTCATTCAACTTTTTCTTATTCCTCATTAAAAATTAGCGTCACTTTCTTGATAATGAAAAATGCATGTGTCGAATAGTTTTTCTTCGATCTTCATTTAGAGTCAAATTAAAAATATATTTTGTTAGCAACTATTAGCTATAAACTATCATAAATATATTTGAATATGGTGAGGCTGCTATAACTATTATGTAATATATAAATGTCTACTAAAATAAATAATTACTTACAACAATATAAATAAAGATATATAGTCAATTATAGCAATAATATAATATAAATATAATGCAATATATAAAAAATTCTTTTAACATACTTTAATTATCTGTATCTGTTATAATCTTCGTCCAATAGATGATTTACAATTTTTGTTATGACAGTAAGTAAAAAAATCATTAAGAACATTAGGATATGCGACGGGATAATTCTCCTCGAGTAAAAGATTCTTCGCAAACATTAATCCGAGATATATATATTTACCATTGCATGTACTTTTTGATATTATTAATAAATAATAACCTCACTTGTCACTGAAAAAAATATGCGTTCAGCAGAAGAATAGATTAGTGAGTGCTCTGCAGTGATTCTTTAATTTACAAAATTTGATTAATTCGGCTTTAGATTTAAAGAAAATATATATTATATATTATTAAAAATAATTAGTCAAATTGACGTCGATCGACGTCGATTCGACTAATTAATTATGTGATTTCCTAAATGTTCAATGTAAATTTGATTAATATTTTTTATATAAACAATATCTATAACATTTTATATGTGAATAAAATGTTATAAATATTGTTTATATAAAAAATATTAATCAAATTGTTATATCCGGGATTGAATAATTACGCCAGTAGATTACGGATACACGAAAGATATAATATGTATTTGCTGGAAACGGTTACACGAATACTCAGTACGAAAAGTCCTCGATAAACACGTGCTGCGTGCTCCAAGCCACGAAACGGAGTGCGCAGCACGGAGCAATCACGCGGCGCACATGCTTGCACGCTGCTCCGGTTTTCGCCTAGTGCCACCGGAAAACGTGGCGCTCTTATATCCTATTACGCGGCATTATGAATATCTATCATACATAACACAAATTTACATTGAACATTTAGGAAATTGCATAATTGATTAGTCGAATCGACGTTGATCAACGTCGATTCGACCAGACGGTCCTTGTTCATATATGAAATATTATAAATATTGTTTATATAAAAATATACATAATAAACATTTAGGAAATCGCATAATAGATCAACACGCAAACACACTCTCGCACACACTGACACCCACCCATCCATACACACACACACACACACACACACACACACACACACACACACACACACACACACA